TCTGGCCTGTGCAACTTCTCCTTCCTCCATGCTCCATGTACATCCACATACATATGAATGCGCACACACACATATGTACACATACACACACGAATGTATACACTCACCTGTACCGTCCTGCAATACATACATCTGTACACAAATACTCATGTGAGGCGGGAAGGAAATATGTTTTGAATTCCTTGACTTTGACCTGAAGTCATGTTCTTTGTGTATTTCTAAGTTACAGAAATCATCTGGTCCAAATTTCCACCCCAGTTAGAGATCTCTTTGACACTCCTGAGGGGTTTAGTGTATGATTGAGTCCTTCCAGTTTAACCAAGAGTCAGATACTTCAAAATAGTACTTCTCAAAGCTTGTTTGCCTGTATGTTCTCTGAACTAAATTTGGAAAACAGTAGACCCCTTTGAAATTTTTAGTTGCCATGTAAAGCCCATATGCATAAATGTAGTAGTTGCAAAAGATGTGGTTTCTACACATTTCTTATCCCATATGGTCCCTATTTTACCAAACCCTCAGAACAATAGGTGAAACCCATTCACTTTGCAGACTTTGTTTTCTATATTATCTGTCAAGAAAATCCATTTCAAATTATCAATAGAAACAGTCCAGCTAGGGCTGTTTTTTTTTTTCCAAGAAAGAAAATGGGCTCATTTTTCAATTTAAATGAACCATAATACTTTCATCTCTGTTACAAACATACTACCTTTAAATTTCAAGATAAATCAATATATAGACAGATAAGACACAGAGCCTTAAAATGACTTTGTCCCCTGCATGATAGAACGTACAATTCCGTCAATATTTGTTACATATTTTTTTTATGTTGAATTTTTTCTTTTGGTCCCTTTTCATTCCTTCGGGAGCTATATCTCCTCCAGGTTTCTCTGTTTAGTCCCTTCAAACGATTTTCTACTATGAGTATTGCATAAGAAAGAGTAGGATCGGTGGTTGGTAAGACATGCTCACCTTTGGTGAAATAGGAGAAACAGAAGATAAGGTTTAACCCCAAATAGATATATTTGGTTTTTTTTTCTTTTTTTTTTTCAAATAGATATATTTGAAGTGAAAAGTTTACAGAGGGGTAAAGGACTTGGAAAATAATTTCCTTAAAACACATTGTACCCTCCTGGATGTGTTTTAAGTATATCTGCAAGTATGTATTTATCCACTTTGAAGACTCTTGATACCAAGCGATAACCTACCATTTACTTAGGGAAGTGTTCGCAGTATGGAGAGGACGAGTTGAAGCATCCTTCCTGCACTGTGGTTTAGTATGTGATCCCCGCTGATGACTGGCATTGAAAGATGCTGCGGTACCTGCCCCACTTGGCATCTCTAGGGGTCATATCCCAGGCCTATGGCCTTACATTCTCTGTCATTATCTTCGTTCCCCTCACTTTTCTAGTCATCTTGACACAGGGATGCTAACTCTCAAAATGAATGTTTTTTGAATTTGGCAGTCTAAAACAATGAAACATTTCTATTTCCCAGGATGAAATGTCAATGTTTGTGATTTTCTTTATAAGAAACTATTTTTTTTTTAGAAAATGCTTGCTGTGTGTTTGGTACTTAAAATAGTCCTACAAAGAAGATATTATTATTATCATTGCTGTTTTCTGCTTGCAGACAGGAAGATTGAACTGAAAAAGAAAACATAAATGACTAGACAAAAACAAGAATTTCATTCTGTGCCGTGTTTAGTTAGCACCTGGTTAATTTATTACTGGCTGGGTGAGGAGTTGATTTGACAGTAACACGATGCCATGAAGACATACCTCTGTAGGTGTTGAGAGGGCGGGGAGCAGAAGAGATAAGAATAGACATAAGGTCAGAATTATCTGCACATTCGCTGGTAACTTCTCTAACAGCTAAAGGGCTCATGTCATACATATAGAGTGAGAATCCATAGTGACCTACTGAAGTGACCTAGCACAGTTGCCATGGCTTTCACACTAGCCTGCCTAGTCCAAGGGTGTCTGTGGAGGTCTATGAACTGCTGCATAAAGGTGCGAATCCAAACAACAAGGACTTCCTATGTCTCCTTCTCTGATTTCAAACACATCTGCCTTCTCTAGTGGTTTTTGTTTAATCCAATGAGGACTAGTTAGAAATGGTAATATAAACTAGAAATAGAGATGCATATGTGCAGACAGGCAGAGGAGAAAGGGAGAGTGAAGAAGTTGTATACAGAAAGAAGAAAGGATGTTAAAAAACATTCTGAGAAGGCTGGAGAAATATCTCGGTGGTTAAGAGCACTGGTTGCCCTTCCAGTGTTCAATTTCCAGCACCCACATGGCAGCTCATAACCATTTGTATAACTCCAGTTCCAGGGGATCCAGTGTCCTCTCTCTGACCTCCACAGGTACCAGGGATGCAAGTGGTACACAGACATACACACAAACAAAACACTCATGCACATAAAATAAAAATAAATAATTAAAGAAATCTGAACTTAAGTGTCCTTCTATATAGTATATACTCCATAATTTTATATCACTTATTCTGGAGACAAGGCCTTCTGTAGCTGGTCTCATTTTCCTTACGTGGCTAGGGGTGACCTTGAATTTCTGATCCTCCTGCCTCCACCACCTGAGTCCAGGGTTATAGGCATATACGAGCACACCCAATTTTGGCAAGCCCATCACACATCACATCATCTGGAATCAGGTCATGTAAGAAGAGTCCCATACGTTATCCTATTATAAGATATTGCTGAGATATGTCTCCCTCTAGGAGAAACCCAATAACTTCCCAAAATCTTCGAAACAGAACACAAAGGGTTAATTCTGTGAAAAGATCTTTGTTTTTTAACAAGACAACTCCCCCCCCCCCCCCCCCCCCCCCCCCCCCCCCCCACCCCCCCCCCCCCCCCCCCGCATAAGATCCTCTTTAAATAGCCAGGTCTCTTTTGGAGTACTCAAAAATGGGTTTGCTCTACAACATGCTGATGAGACTCTTCAAGAAGAGAGTGTGCACAAACAGACCACTGTCTGTCAGGTCTTCATAGTGAAGCCTCATCTGTCACAGTGAAGCAAGCCAGGTTGCACCACCAGGTCCCCTCCCTCCGGGAAGGAAGGCTTATGCAAGCATCCAGGTCACTGGCCATCATGGACTGTGACTTTGGCAGGGAAGGGTGTCAATCTGGGGTCTGAAGGAGCTGGGCTTTATTAAGCATGTACTAATATTAGCTTAAATAGTTTACGGCACTCTTCTTACCGACAGAGCTGTAAAGATAGAGCCGGTGCTTCCCTCCTCTCTGTAGTGCTGTGGATAGAACCCAGGGCCTCTACATGTTACACAAATGCTTTAACACTGCTGCTCCCAGGGTCCCAGATGACGTGTCCTCAAATAAAGGAAAGCAGATTTGGGATGGAGGGAGGATATGATGTATCATTCATTGACGGCATGAGCAGAAAGAGGAAAGTGAGGATTTGGAGGGGCTAGATGGTAACATAGGGTCAGAAGGAGAAATCTTACTTTTCTTTTCATATCAGACCCCACTTCACAACTACAACTGATACAAGTGGGCACGTGGCATCCAGTGTTCCCGTCAGTCTTCCTTCCCGATTCATGGCAGGAGGAGAGGCAGGAACACAGGCTTCACCGTCCAACTCAGGGAGTAAACATTGCACTCCTTGCTAGACTCAAAGACAGGAGGTGCACAAGATGGGAGAGAAGAAAGAAACAATTTTAATGAGTTATCCAACTGTCCTTAGAGACCGTACAGATTTTGGTTTGCGTTCCAAGACAACTTTTCCAGTTACTTGCATGAAAAAAAAGTAAGCGCGCTCTGTTTTGAAGATAGCTACTGTAAAAGAATACACTAGTCCGGTTTCTGCAAGTGTTCCAAACTAGTCGTTTGCTGGTTACATACAAGAGTTGGCAGGCTGCTGAGAGTCTTTCTAGAAGATGTGTGCATTTAGCTTTAAAAGCTAATGCATCAAACACTTTGACAAAATTAGAGTCAGTGAAGGAAGACTTGTCAAGCAGCACACACAATACCGAGAACGTTTACAGGTCGGATGTTTTCTACCTTCCTCTTTCTAACTTCCCCTTTCGGCCTCCTAAGCCCATGCTTGCTTTGTGTGTTCACAAGGTGAGATCCTCAAAAGAGAGGGGGTGTTCAATACACCGAATGGAGCCTGGGCCCGGAGATGGACTGTGAGGAAGATATCCAAAAGCAGATGGAATGACATACTTTGGTGACTGGTGGAGACAACGGGGTCTCAGATGCACATTTAGGTCCCCCCCACTTCGGATTCTGCCACAGTTGTGTTGACAAATGTCCTTGTCATCTCTCTAGTACAGGCAGTTTATTGCTTAGGATCAGAGGCCGCAAAAAAAAAAAAAAAAAAAAAAAAAAAAAAAAAAAAAAAAAAAAAAAAAAAAAAAAAAAAAAAAAAGAAAGAAAGAAAAAAGAAAAAAAAAAAGGATTTGGGAGTAGCAAGAACTCTGATCAGTCAACAGGAAGAAAGTGTGCCCCCAGGGGACAAGGTTCTCCTGAGGCAAAATGTACCTGGAGACCGGTGGAGGATGAAGCTCAGAGCAATGGAAGAAGCAAAGCTTGCTTCTTTCCCAGACTAAGGAGTGCTAGTGCTGAAGGTGGGTTGCTGGGAGGGTGGAGGTGGGGGTGAGGGTGGGGTGGGCTTGCTCCTCCCAGCCCCAAAGCTGGGGAACAGCAGGGAACTGGGAATGGTGTTGACAAGGTTGTTATGCCAGGACAAGGTGTTGGGTATGAGGGTGGGTGGGGGCCTGAGGGGTGGCTTGGAGCCCTGGCGGTGGCTGCCTGACGTCACCGGCCTCTCTGGCAATAGGCTAAGAGCTGAGCTCCCTGTAGCAGCGGCGAAGGCAGCGGCGGCGGCGGCAGCAGCAGCAGCGGCGCGGCTCTGTCTCAGGTCCCTGCGCTCCGCGCCTTCTGCAGCCGTCACTGCAGCCGAGGCGGGGGCTCCTTCTCTGCAGCCGGTTGGCTATTCCAGGTAAGAGACAATGGTCCGGCTGAAGGCTTCCGTGACTAGGGAGCCCAGCGGCAGGATGTGGGCGGGTAAGACCACTCCCGCGGCCTGCGCAGGCACCTCTGGTCAGAGCTTCGGCCCCCGCCCCTGCCCCAGCGGAGGCTAGCGCTTTGCCTTGCTGCTCCGCAGTGCAACAGTTTGCACCTGCCTTTTGGGAGAGGCGAGGGAGCTGTGCTGCCCGCTGCGGGTCCTCCTGACTTGGTCCTCTACCACAGCCTCCGGGCCCTTAGGTCAGGGCCCGGGGAAGGCTGGAGACAAGGTCGGTTCCCCAAACTTTGCAGACGGGAACCCTTCCCCTTCCAGTTCCTGCTCTGGGAGAAAGAAAAAGGATACAAGACGCTGTCAAGTGGGAGGCTCAGGGAGATGGGGAGGAGGGGGGCGTTTGCGAGGATATGCCTCCGCTGAGAAGGGTGCTTCAGCTGTTTTTGATGGGGAGGAAGGGGGAGGAAGGTAGCAGGAAAGAAGGCTGGAGAAAGGTCGAGCATGATCCTGTGTGCCAGATCCAGCGTGTCAGCTGTGGCCAGGGACAGAGGCAGTGGGATGTATCCCCTGGGACTAGGACCTTGGGGATCTGAAGGTCCAGGGTGGAAGTCTGGATGGGAAAGGAAGCTTGCGTACAGGGAGCCTGCTCGGAGCAAATGCTGGCGAGAGTAGATCTTGAGAAGAGGTCCATGGTGCTCAGAGAGGAGGACAGTTGGCTTTCTGGGAAGTAGATAGAGAAAGCCAGCCTTGGCGGCCACTGTTGGTGACAATTAGAAAGTTGTGCAGGGGGCAGGGCGGCTGCCTTCTCTGCTGAGTAACCAGTGTCTCCGCGGTGCGGTGCGGTGCGGACACCAGACCCCATCTGAGCCAGCGGAGCGGCTGGCAGCCGCTCTCCTGCGCCGCTGGGAGCGGTAGGATTGGGTCGGTGGGTTGTGGAGATAACAGCAACCAAATGAGGGTCGCTTGGCAGTGGTGGCAGATCCCTCTCGTTCTCCACACTTGCCTTGGCGGTGGCCGGGACCCTAACTAATCCTGTTCTCTTTGCAGCACGGTGCCTGGGGAAAGGAAACTGGGCGCTTGGAGACAAGATCAAGGAGGACCGGAGACAATCTCCCTGGGGCCACTAGCTCTGGCCAGCTTGCCTGCCGGCAGTCGCTCCCTCAATCCCTCCAGCGCCAGGGAGCAGTTGGGGTGGCGTGGGCTCTTGTCCTCGTCTTGGCTGGTGGGAACCGTGTGTACAACAGAGGAAGCCTGGTGGGTCTGTCCCCTCTCAGCCCAGCGCCGATGAGTGCCAGGGCGCCGAAAGAGCTGAGGCTGGCACTGCCGCCTTGTCTCCTCAATCGGACCTTTGCTTCCCACAACGCTAGTGGAGGCAGCAACGCAGGTGTCCGCAGCTCAGGCGCAGGTGGTGGCACCTGCATCACGCAGGTGGGACAGCAGCTCTTCCAGTCTTTCTCGTCCACGCTGGTGCTGATGGTCCTGGTCACTCTCATCTTCTGCCTCGTCGTGCTGTCCCTCTCCACTTTCCACATCCACAAGCGTAGGATGAAGAAGCGGAAGATGCAGAGGGCTCAGGAGGAATACGAGCGGGATCATTGCAGCGGCAGCCACGGTGGTGGTGGGCTGCCCCGGGCAGGTGTTCAAGCTCCGATCCCTGGAAAAGAAACCCGGCTGGAGAGACAGCCCCGGGACTCGGCCTTTGGCACTCCCTCCAACGCCACCTCTTCCTCCTCTTCAACCCCTGGTCTCCTGTGCCAGGGTCCCTGTGCTCCTCCGCCTCCACCGCCAGCCCCCAGTCCACACGGAGCACACACAGCTTCCTCCTGCTTGGACACAGCTGGCGAGGGCCTTTTGCAAACGGTGGTACTGTCCTGATTGTGTAGCCCTCTCCTTACCCCTTCCTCGTTTCCAGCATCTTTGCCATCCTCGCTTTTGGTCCTCCTTTCTTCCTTTTCCATTCTCCTCTGACCCCTTTTTCCTCTGCCCTCTTTCCTTACCTGCCCATCCTTTTACTGTTTCTCCTCCGCCGAGGCACTGTGCGGTATTTGTAAATATTGGGCAAGGAAAGTCTCAGAGGAAGAAATAACGCTGATAATACTTTATTGATATTTATAGTAATTATTACACTATTATTAACACAGTCCAAGCGCATGACAAACCACATAACTTCTCATTGTTAACGATGGCTGCATCTTCCCTTTCCACCCCGTGTCCCCCTCAGTAAGGAGGAGAAACCGCACAAGCTACCAAATATATAAAAGGTGTTAACACAGGAGGGGAGGGGGCCGGTGATGTTGTATATAGCTGTCAAGTGAAGGTTTAGTCGCCTTTCTGCCCCTCCCCCATGGGCCTTCTTTCACGTTTCCGTTAGCTTCTCTCCCCTCCCTTTCCCTCACCTTTAGCCGGGCTCAGGCGTTAGTATATTATAAAGGAAACATCTACATTAAGCACCAGAGACCACAGAGAATGTCCCAGAAAAACGTTTAGGACAGGTAACCCCTTTCTAGTCAGTCATCTCTTCACTTTTTGGTTCCCCTGGGCAGTTTTTGAGTTTACTTTTAGAAATATCTCTCGCTGGCCGAGCGCAAAAAAGCAAAACCCATAGTATCCGCTTTTGCCCCTTCCATCCTCCTCTGTCCTCCCCACTTGCACACTTGACTGGTGGCAGCTTTCTGTTTTTGTTTTGTTTTAGCCTCAGAGACATCGGGAGCTGTCCAGCTATGTCTGGTGCTGAATATGTCTCGCCTTCCTGATTACTTCCTCTGGTTGTGCAGGCCAAAGAAGGAGCTATTTTGGAAAGTGATTGTCTTGGTTTCGATTGGTTTCTTTCTTCTTTTTCTACAATTGGATTAGCGTGCACTATTGTTTTGCTTATTATTGAACATTGCATAAGTTACCTTTATGTAAAAAAAAAAGTATTAGGTAATGTGCCGTTCTGGAAATGCAGTATCTAACCAACCAATATGTTTCTGTTTTATTTTTAGAACAAGTGCACCTTTGTTATATACTTATTATATTGGTACCAAATACAGCAGAAAACTATAGTTCTGTGATATGTCCTCCGATCTGTATATTCTTGTTCTAACTTTCCAGCTGTTGATATAATGGTTGCCACTGGCTAAGGAAGTCAGTGGTGCAGGCCTGGCTTCTGTTTCTGGAAGTGTTCTTTTGTATTTTACTCTGTAGTAGACTATTATAAAAAAAGATGACACCCACGTTTCCCTTTTTCTTTTGTGAATAGCAGAAACAGCCACAACAGAAAACAAACAATGGGTGCGCAGGAATGCCATCTATTAAATCATGGTTAATATTTCAACAGTGCCTGTGGTTCTCTGCATGCAGCTACCACCTGGAGGCAGTGGTGTGTGTGCTTGCTTGTACTGTATGTGTCTGGGGGAAAGACTGGTGGAGATGTTGGGCAATTTGGATGACAGGACATGCAAATTTCCAAGTTAAATCAGTGAATGCTTACAGGATAAAAAAAATGTCTACAGCTTGTCTAGTTACAACTCTGTACCTGCATCTGATAAACAGCAACGGAGGAGGATCTTTCTTCTTTTCTAAGTCTGGCTTAATTAGCCTCCCAGAACAAATAGAGAATATTGAGGAAAAAAATAAAGTGAAAGAGAAGATAATTCTTTTGTCCTCTCTTCAAACATCAGGATAAACACATCTATGCTAGACTCTGCTGCTGGGTGTTTGGCAGGGGGACCCCACATATATCCCTCTCCTGAGCCACTAGTTGCCCTCAGTCCTCTGTCTTGTTTCAAGTTGTATGTGCTTATTATCCAGAGAAACTATGGCCTCTAATGTTTTTTGGTTATTATAAACTTTCCCAAGCTCAGTCTGTATCTTTATAAGATAAGTTATTAAGGTTGATTTTAGTCACCTATCAGATATCATCCAAGTCCTTTTCTGAAGCACAGGCCGTTATTTAAGCATGCCACATTGTACCATTAGGAAGACCAGGTCTAATCTTTGGATACAATATATTAAACAATGTACAAGATTCTCTCCGGTGCCTTAGTCACTTCCTAGTAACAGGCCAGAGTGCATTCACTCCCTCAGACGACCAAGGAGCCCGTCAGTGGAACTCTACATTAGCTACAGTGAGCCCTCCATTGGACATCAGACTAAGGCACTGTGAAAGAGAATGTCCATTAATCTCTTTAACTTGCCCTAATCCAACCATAGCTCTTAACACCTTCTTACAGAATGGGTCTTGATTGTGAAATCCAAATAGAATCAGGAACCTAGAAAGAAGGAACATTCTCATTTCAACGAGCTCCACTTAAGTGCACAGATCTTACTTTCTTCCCATTATTTGGTGCACTGTTTATTTTACAGTAAATAATTTCCCATTTTATTAAAGCAATAAGATATTCTGTTTTGAGTAGTGCTAGATGCTGATTCCACTTCCTTGGTGCTGAAGCGACTCATGTGTTCCTGCCTTATGAATCACAGTGCATTCAAGGCATGCAATAATAATCCCCTTCCAAGAAGCAGCCTGTACACCCTAGGGGGCAATGTCCTATATACTTTTCCAAAAGAAATAGGGGGAGCAAGAAATAAGCTAATTATGTGTATTTAAAAAAAAGTCTTGATACCTCTAACCATAAGCACACATCTGCAATGTGCTCTTTATTGTGCATCTTTAAGTGTTTATGCCTTTCCCCACCAATTGACTAGGGTTTAATATTTTGATAGTGTCCCGTGTAAAGATGATGCAGCTTGCTAATTACATTTCATACTGAGTTTAATACGCTGTGAACCTGGTGATGTCACAAGATTTCTGTGAGCTAGAATGAGAATTAACATGTAATTCTAGTAGACCAGATCCCACACCAAATTATTGCAATAAGCATATAACAATGCAAATTTCTATAGACTCTGTTTAGATTGCTACTTAGTGAACTCAGCTGGCCCATATGACATTCAAGACTTCATTTTTATGAGACAAATGGCAATATGGAAATAGCTAAATTTACTCTAAGGATTTTATTTACCGATGTCCAGTCAAACTAATTGCTTCAACCCTCTATAGCTACAGCTCAACTCCTGCACTTGCTATTCAGTATTAATAAGGTAGCATGCTTGATTCTTACTGTTTAAAAAAAATGAGAAAATAAGGGAGAGAATGCCAATGTATCAATTGTATGGGACTCTGACTCTTGAAGATGTAGATGGATATAATCTGTAGAATTTATATACACCCATAGATATGTATTTATATATGCATACATTTTGTACAAATTTACAATGGACTTTTGTATTCTCTTTTCTGTCATTATAAGTATGAGATCGAAACCAAATAGTTGTTCCATCGTCTGATCCAGAGAGGATCTGAGAAGTCAGGTAAATGCATGTACTTGTTTCTTTGCGGTCAAATCGGGATGACTTTCTCTTTATTTAATGGAAGGGAAGCGTCTTCCTCAGCTTGGGAAATTGGTAATTAGATAAGCTTCCTTTCCTATATTAGTGACTCAAATGTAGCAACGATAATGAAGTTATGACTATATCAATGTGGTCCAGCTATCTAGGTGGAATAAAACGGTCTATCTAAAAGAGCTTTGGAGCCATCTAGACCACAATCATGGATTGCAATTTGAATTTTTTGCTTTTTCAACATATGTGTTGTATAAAGCACAACATATATCTGCTTATTTATAGGTAAAATGAAAATATAACTCTTATTTGTTTAATTTGACAAGTAACTGTTTTGAAAATATGGACAACTTAGCTTTAAACGTTCCTTCGGCATTTACTTTTACTCCCTTCTTATCTGTATCAATTGAACTGATTAGATGATGACTAAAACTTCCTTTTTAATGCCTAGGTATAAGCTTTATGCGCTTTTCTGTGAATAATGGCTGAGAAATTACTAATGGATATTATCCGAGAGTTACGGGCTAAATTAAAACCAGAAACTTTAATGTGGCTTCTAAAACCTACTCCCTGGTGATTCTAGGCTTCGAATCTGAAAAGCCACTTGTTCGTGTTTGAAGGCAGAGGTTGTGGCTTGCAGATGTTATAGTTCGTGTCAGAACAAATTGCCCCATCTACACAAGAGGATGAATATATATCCGATTCTGGTTTGTTTTTCTTTCCCTTGTTTGGTAACATTTGAGAAGCAGATATTACCGCTTGGCATCAATGCTTGTCATTACCACCAACCTGATGGCACCATGGGTGCCTTGCAGGAATGCTTAGCGGAGAAAAGGAAAATGGACTTAGCTTTAATTGGGGGACAATAATCACTCAAGTTGTTTTACCTATTTGAGGCAGGATATCTCGCCGAGATGCATGGTCTCACAGGACTGCTGTGATAGTGAGGCTAACAACAGTGACAGCACCCACAGAAAAAGTGATTTTTGAACTTGAGTATATCCAATAGATAGAATAAAACAGGTACTAGACTTCATGAAAAATTTGTTTTGCTTTTATATCAATAAAAGAGTTTTCTTGTTAATTGGTTTTTTGGACACTATTTCCTTATTAATTTAGTATATAACATGCCAGGCTTTTTAAATATCTTAGTCCGTTGCACTTAAATACAGTTTTCGAGAGGAGACAATTAAAATGGCTTTGCAGCTCATCTGCTCTTCCATTCAAACCACAGATCAGAGAAGGGATGTGTGTGTGTGTGTGTGTGTGTATTGTGTGTGAGAGAGTATGGGAGTGTATGAGTGTGTGTATGAGCGAGAGAGAGAATGTGTGTGTATTTGGTATAACCCGGTAAACTGAGTCTAGTGCGAGAATTCAGTGGTTTTTCTAAGTACCAACTCGAAGTGTTGAGAATATTTCCTCTTCCCCTTTCGCTGTTCTAACATAACCTAGTCTATCAGGAAGAAATGTCTTGAGAACCATATTTTGCCCTTAAAGAGGGATATCTCAGGTTCACACAAATTCAGAATGGCCCTAGTTGAGCCCTGTTGAAATGCAGCTTGCTGGGGATGCTCCTTACTGTGTGTTGCTATCGTCTTACCCTGCCTTCCTCCTGACATCTGTTGTTATAGTCTCAGACCCTGACCTTTGTCTCCAGGCTGTAATTTAACGCAGGGCTCTTCATTCCAGCCTTACCACTCTTAGCTCTACCAGAGCTTTCTCATTCCACCTCCCTACACAGTGAGGGTCTGACTTTCCTGACCTGCATTGAAAGTCATGAATTCTTTCTCAGGGTCGTAAATCAAACCACTACCCCTGCCACCTCAACTCTGCTATTCTTGTAACGTGTTAGATGTCACGCAGAAGCGTTTCTTCTGAGGTTGTATAGCCTCACACTTCTAAGGTCGCACAGTCCAATATCTGAGTAGATGCCGGCTTGTCATTTACCCACAGATCTGTTTAGAGGTTTATCAGACAGTACCAACAGTCTTTTTGGCTCCTAATGATTATAGAGGAATGGAAATCCTTCATGGATACTTACTTCACTTTATTCTTCTGTTTTATTATTTTTTCTCAAAATTGCCCCAGATTAAAAGAAGCAGCTGTTTCTCCTCATGGCCCCTCTTCTCTTCCAAAGATTCTTCCTACAGTCACTAACTTTCCTCTTCCTCGGTGTCCCTAGTGCTTCATTCTTAGCAATGGCTGGAGTGAGAGTAGGAAGCGTGATTGGAAGCTTATTGGTAAGATTCTCAAAACAGCTCCTGTAAGCAAACCTCTGCATTTATGCAAAGCAAGTGTGCTCATCATTAAGCCTTGTTCTTCTTTCCCTGAAGATTTTGATCATCTTGTGTTGAAATAACCAGGCTAGCTAAAGGCTACAACAATTATATTTTTATTTATTATAAGGGGAAAACTCATGAAACAGGAAACGAGAAATCCAAGCACAGCAGTGTCCCACGGGAATGGCTCAGAGAGAGAGCACCTGGGCGGTGCACAGGTTTTTCCTCGGGTCCCAGAAAGCCACACCTTACCTGGGCTCCACCTCTTAAAGAAAACTGGCTAACAAGGTTTTCTCCATCATCTCCTCCTTTTGTATAAACAAGAGTGATCCAAGCCTGATACAAAACTATATGCAATAGGAACAGATATCAAACAACAAAAGCAAGGAACACATGACAAATGTTTTAATAAACATTCTATTTTAAGGAGTCTAAATCTTACATTGGGAATAAGCTTGGCTAAATCTTAAGAGGAAGGTAGCTACAACTATCTAGTCTTCAACCCCATCAAAGGCCTGAGAAGGGAGATAATATTACTTGAGTAGACAGGAAGTGCAATCAAGCAGCTTCCAAAGTGAGCAGAATATGACGGAGACAATTAGCTACCTGAGCAATCACCCAAAGTCTCATTTGTAATGTTGAAGCAACCAAC